TATGAAGCGATCCAACCTTTGTTTTGAAGGTAACTTATCGTTAGTTACCCCATCTTCCACTAAATGCAAAGCTCTACGGTTTTTTGGTCTTTTTTCACGGTCTCTAGCGCCACCCTAACCTTACTTGTTTTAACACGTCACGCACGCCGCAAACCTTTCCTCTCCCTCTCAGACGTTCGCTGACTCGCGCCAGAGATCCGCTCCTCTTGGCGAAATTTGCAGAAAAGCGTGTAGGCATGCACGAGACAATTTTTTGACAGATTTTCGGGATTGTCTCGATTGGTCAGTGAGTTGTTGCGCAATAGTGGACTTATCCTGCTTGAGCGTTAGCGCTAACGTCACTATCAACCGTTTCCCTCCCTAGCCTCATAATACACGGTTTTTTCTTCGTTTTTTGACTCATCCTTTATAAATTCTCAGTCATTGAATGCAAAGAAAATGAGCCAGGACGAGCTGCATGGTCCGTGTGCTTTAACAAGTTTCGGGACCGACTTTTTTCTTTATATGATTTCGAGCTGAACTTATGGGAAACTTGCAAGTGTTGTGTTCCGCACTCTTCCTATGCCTCTTTTGCATTATTCATGATTTGACGTCATGATCCTGCATCTATACATCTATACATTATTAAAACTCACAACTGTCAATTTGGAGGCTATGTGCGTTATACAAACACGCGCCGCTCAACCGATGCAGCTGGAACTTTGCACACTCATGTTTTCGGCCCGTGCGCAGATATAGGCTACTTTTTGCGGCAATTTGCTGGGTCCTTATATCGATTCATTGATTTGTTTACGTTTTTACGAAAAGAAGGAGGTTAATATGACTAGTCAAGCATTTTTCCATAGTCACGTAAAGCGAAGCGGTGAAGCTCATTTCCAGCTAGGATCACGACGATGCGGTGAATCGAAGTGGATAACGCAAGGTAAGCCATCCATTATTGTAAAAGGAGTGAGAAGGGTTTTGCAATGCGGTAATCTTGCTAAACTACTCCTCCCCTGTGAACAATAGCCCGGGTCGGATCGGGGAAGCCAACTATTCTTGTAATGAAAGCGGGAGCTATCTGGCTACCTCTTTGGCTACCTGGCTAAAGCTAGCCTCGAATTTTTTAAAGTCGTGGGATTTCTCTCAAACTTGGTCCATGGGGGTTATGAGCATGACGATCATGAACATCACACTTTTCTCGTGTAACAGTAAAAGTAAATGAGTGAAAAAGCCAGATTTGCTCAAGACTCTGTGTGGGGGAGGAGAACCTATAGCATTCTGATCACAATTATGATCTCGATAGTAACAACTTAAGTGGGTGACGCTCTATAGTTTTGACTAAATTTGATTTTTGACGTGATCCATCGACCCACTGTAGAATCAGAAAATCGCGCTTGCTTGCAAAATTCAATACGATGCTCGTGATCAACATGCTAATTAACCTTAACCTCTATGGACCAGAAGATAGACCAATCTATGATTTTGACATTTATATAGTCGTCCTCACCCACTAGTCGGTCGGTGGTCGAATCTGAATTCGAACTGGAGCAGGCCGGCCGCGGCAGAGCACGGCAGACCGCCCCTCAGCCAACCGCTTGCACATGAGCTTTCCTCTTATTTTCTTCGTATTTCTTTCCTATCTCTCGTATTGCGGCAATGTTCTCAATCAAATTTTTAGATTTCGTCCGCTAACTCTTTGAAACAAACACTTTTTGAGAGAATTTCAGCCCTATCGCAAGAAAAGTTTAGAGTACACATTCTAACGAAAAACTTGACACAGTTCATCAAATCACATTTGTGTATATGTCACTTATCGGAAAAGAGATTTCTCATCCAGAAATCTCCAATCACATTCTTCTTCCCGGTTTACCTGGAAAAAATGTAAAACAAACGGGCACAACTGCACAAAACAATAGTTAGCGGTACGAAATCTAAAAATCTGATTAAGAACATTGCCGCAATACGAGAGATAGCAAAGAAATACGAAGAAAATAAGAGGGAAGCTCATGTGGAAGCGGTTGGCTGAGTGGCGATCTGCCGCGCTCTGCCGCGGTCGGCCTGCTCCAGTTCGAATTCAAATTCGACCACCGACCAACTAGTGGGGTGACGACGACTATACCGTACTGTCTTCCAGAACAGTAGAGGTTTCCTAATAAACTCTTATCCTCCTTTGCCCCGCAACAAGTGAAATGTCTTGATAATGCGATTTTCCCAGCCCGAAGCGAAACGCGCGAAGGCTCTGTCGCGACATTCGCAACGCCGCACCAATTTGCTATAAGTTACTGTTTGCCAGTCATTCTCCCGAATAACCAGAAAGCTGTGTTGAACTATAGACTTGTGCCTTTACGGCATTCTTACATCGGAAGGAGACCGATTGTAGGAAGCAAGAGACAGTTGCAAACTCGGTGGTGCATCAGTGTCACCGGTCCAAAACGTGTTAAAACGCGATTCTTACAAATTCAAACTCATTAATCTCTGCATTACTTTTTTAACCCATTGACGACGACGTCTAATTTTGCGTGGTGGCGCTGTGGAGCGACGCGATTCGTGCACGTGCGGTCTGGGAAGGTTTTGTGGTTATTTACAAAATGCAAGATTTTTTTGCAAACAACTGCAAACATTTTCTTGAAAGACGGAGCCTAAAGGTCCCAAAAGTGCAAAAAAACTGGAGAAAATATCAATAGGTGGAATACTATGCCTACAGATGAATGCCTTTTCAGAGGTGCGGGCCACCGGTGGTCCACATCGTCCCTGGCAGCAAAAAGTAGGCCACCGGTAGTCCACATTGTCGTCAATAGCTTCAAGATCGTTTATTTCCAAAGCCACAGAGATTCGTTTTACAAGATAAAACCTTTCAGACTCCATGACTCTATATGGACTGGCCAGGTTCAAGTTAATCCCAACACCAACTCGTGGCGTCACTTCACAAAAGCAAATCAAGATTCTGATTTGTGCGACACGGTTAATGTCCCGGAAATTTGATTAAAGGCAGTGTCTCGGCAGAATTTCGTTTTCCCTTCACTTTTTTGGAGCTTTTTCGCCATAAGGAATCCATATCTGAGATTTTCAGCGCATGAAAATGACAGAAAGGAGCTTTCTCAGAACTTTTCAGGTATGCAATGAAGATGCGCCGGAAGTCTTTTGCGCTCCGCCTCCCTTGTTGGACCACTCCACTTACATGTTTTCTCCAGTGACTGCGGACATAGAAAGCTCTGGAAAAAATTCATTATCGGCATTTTCAAGCTCTGAAAAGCCCAGATATGGATTCCTTGAGGCGAGTATGCTCCGAAAAGGTGAAAAATTCAAAGACGAAGTTCTGCCGAGACACTGCCTTTAAGGTATGCTCTATCATTATGTTCTTTATTCTTTCAGTTTTTACTGCGTATATTTCTCAAACGTTTCCTTTGCTTTCATTCATTCCCGTCATCCTTCAAAGCTTTGCAAACTCTATTTTCGGACATTCTATTGGCGTAAGGTTTTGTAGAACTCAGTAGGTCATTGACTAGGTAAAACTAGCAAAACCGCGCGTAAAAGGAAGGCGCAGCTGCCGTAATTGCATGAATATAGCAAGAAAGCTTTTACCAAATTTGTGCCCCTTTAAATGGAACCGTCTTTGCATGCTGATACAGGGATTGAAAAAGAAAGAAATGAGGAAATGGCTGGTTGCTGTCTAAACGTGCACAGGTCAACCGTCTATAGCACTTGAAAGAAGAGAGGCAGACCAGCAAACAACAACAATACATATCTCTCCCCCCCCTCCCGAGAAAGGGTCGCGAAATTTTTGAAAGTTACTTACATGAGTTATAAAAATGTGCAAGTGACTTGTTTATTTTTGTAAACAATTAAAATAATTTTTACAATTATTCAAAGTTCAAATTAGCCTTATAAAAAATATTTTTTCGGAGGCGTGGCCGATGCCACGCCGCTTTTTTCCAGATTTTAGGGATCGGGGGCCCGCAAAAATTTTGAGAAGCCCCCTTAAAAATTTTCGGAGTGCGTGGCTGACGCCACGCACCTTCATCTGAAAAACATTTTTGCCGCCCCCCCCCCAAGTCGAAATCCTGGATACGCCACTGATATCTGCGTATTATTTCTGTATATCTTTTAAAAGGTAATAAATTTGTTAGTTTTGAATGTGTATATTTCTTTCTACACATACAATGTGAGAAGTTGGGATATAGCAAAATAGTAATGCGAGATAACGTGCTTTAACTGCATCGGGACATCAGGATGTGATGCGCTCAAGCCACCGCGTATTTCCTGCAACATGCATGTCGCGCCAAAGCATTGTTTGGGCAGCATTGTCCCTACACATAATGCAATATCGGGACTCTGTCGCGGAGCCGATTACCTTAAATTCACGCGTATAAGACGCATTTTTTTCGGTTTTTCGAGCGTGTCGCTCAGCCGCCTCGTTGTGTTCCGGAAAACGAGACTATTGCCGCACGATAGCCTCAGGCAATATGCAGCACTGTAAACAGTTTTTTGTTCGCGAAGTGTTTTGGCATGTCTGCGCTGTTTGATTCAAGAAAAAGTTCCCTCGCGTCATATACGCGTGAAATTAGGGCACTTGTTTAGCGCAGTGATTCCGCTACACAAAACTCCGGGCTTGGCGAGTCAACAGCAATTTCTGAACTGCCTTGCTTGAGCAGAAGCCACCGCAAGATATGTCAACACGGCCGCCCCTCTTCGATAGTTCACGGAATGACTTCCCAAAGGAGTAATGAAGTTACAAAGATGAAGAGATGAATGAGATGAAGTGTCATTTTCAGAAGAGGCTGGAATCCCTTGCTAAGATTCATGCTTTAATAAGCATTTTGTAGGGCAATTTTCCAGCGCCACAAAAGCAAGGAGTATGTGGGAAGTTAGAAAAAAAGAGAAACGCCAAAGGCGATGTCTTCGAAAAAACGCTTTTCTCCTGTCGCACTTCAAACCAAAAGGTGTAATGAAGTTGGAAAGAGGTTTATAAAACGCGCAGAACTTTTGTATCGACCCTATCAGTCTTCAGGTTCGTTCTATCACTGTTTATTTTACGTTAGTACAAGCACACAAGTATCTACTTCGAGGCTTGAGTCCGCTTGTTATTACTCCATCCAGTTTCTATTGCACCTAAATGAGTGGAAATGCGTTAAATGCGAGAAAAGTAAGTAACTTACACTCGCGATTTGACTTGAAGGTGCTTGTGTGCTTTTCATTGGCCTAAAAATTGGTTCGCGACATATTTTACAAGTGAGCAGTTACGGTGTCATAAACAAGGAATGGTTTTAGTTTACTGAGAAATCGTGGTCAAATCACTGTTGCTTGACCACTAAATGTTGTTTATTAGCCGTTTCTTCTATGTTAGTTTCACGAAGCTTTCATGGATGACATGACAATACAGGGTGTCCCAAAAAATGTTTCGAACGTTTGATCGTTAATATTTTTCTTCCCAAGAAGTCTTTTGCATTGCTTCAGGTACCGTTTTGTAGAGCTGGCTTCAACTTAGATTTGCATTATAAAACAAATCACCCATCTCTCTTCATTACTGTAGGATTACGGTAGAAACTTGAAACATATGGTGTCAATATGGAAAAAGCTGCCTTTTCAGAAATTTTCAAAATAATGTGAAAACATGTGTAATAGGGTTTTTATGGACGCTGAGTTCAATGCTAAACTATTCACAAGATTACGAAGCTTTCTAAACGGTTTAATTGCACTTTTTAAGAACATTGAAAAAATGGCCGCTACCTCTTACTTGGCATAACTCTTCAATGAAGCATCATAACAAGTTGAGAACTTTACAGTTATAATCAGCAACTTTAATTAGTCTAGTGTAAAAGTTTTCAGGCTGTTTTGTTTTTTTTTTGAGGCAAAATATGGCCTTTCATGGCTCAAAACCCTCTTTGAAGTTTCTACCGTAATCCTACAGTAATGAAGAAAGATGGGTGATTCGTTTTATAATGCAAATCTAAGTTGAAGCCAGCTCTACAAAACGGTACCTGAAACAAGGCAAAAGACTTCTTGGGAAGAGAGATATTAACGATCAAACGTTCGAAACATTTTTTTGGGACACCCTGTAGTATAATGAAGAAAGATACTCACTCACCACTCGTCGATTTTCCGGCAATACTTGCATTGACCACTGCAAGAATTATGCTGGCAAAAAAGTAATGGCCGAAGTGCTTTTCATACTTTACTGGGATGTGTGCCCTCCTGAACCGCTCCGCCCTAGCGCTAATTACTCCGCCTGGGCGACGCTAATTATTTCGCCTTTCTTATAATCTAGCAGAGTTTTCAAATACTTCTGAGCATTCCAGCAAGTAAGGCACACGATATTGATAGTGAGGATCCTCAAATCTTGAAGACAGAAAGTTGGAAAGGTTGCATGTTTTTAAAGCCATTTCGTAGTTTCTTCGCCCTTCCCAGTTTTCAAAACACCATGAAGTCTGCATGTGTAAGCTGAAGAATTTACCTAAGCCGCCCAAATAAAACATTTTCGAGTTTCATGGGAATCGAAATCTTGTTTGCTTCTTTTTATCATGAGAATGCCTTTACAGTCTACTTCAGACGTCTCTAACAACAGCATAGCTCTTGCTCACCCAAGCGGCGGCAGCACCGATCAGTCAAAGGCGCGCAGTAGTTAAAGGCAGTGGGCCGGCAGAATGAGACCCATGGCAAAACAAGGCCACACGGTAGGAGCCCCATAATGGAACCTATGGGCCAAAGTTCGCTCTTTCCCTGCCACTTCTAACCCCCGAAATTTTAAAGCGAAAGCAGCGCTCATTTCCTCTCCTCTCCGAACCCGCCCACTGGACGAGTGACTTCCGCGGTCAGAGCGCCAGCCGCAATGCTATAAGCATGAGGTCCCGCAACGACTCTTCGTCTTCGCCATGACGGGCTCGCGTTCACTCGTCCATGGGGTGGGCGGGTTCGGAGAGGACAGGAGAGGAGCGCTGCTTTCGCTTTGAAATTTCGGGGGTTAGAAGTGGCAGAGAAAGATCCAACTTTAGCCCATAGGTTCCATTATGGGGGCTCCTACCCTGTGACCTTGTTTTGCCACGGGTCTCAATCTGCCGACCTACTGCCTTCAAAGGCAGTGGATCGGCAAAATCCAACAACTGGAGATTTTAATGCGGTAGGTTCCTCATCGCCTAACTATGAAAACACTGCAATCCCGGTTGCACAGCATGCTTTCCCTGCTGAGAAAATCGCTCTCAAGCTTATACGCGCAGGCCAATCTTACACGCATCTGGAAGAGTTGGCAATTTCCTTCTCACCATTGGAGGCTGCCCGCCGTAACGCTATAACCATCGGGTCCTGCCACGATTTAGCGTCATCGGCCTTGCTCCACTCGTCCAATATCAAAGGGAAGGGCATTGAAAAACGCTGATTTTCGCCGTCTTCAAGCTTTCAAAAGTGGATTTTCGGGATCAGCGTATTGAAAAACCCCAGGTAAGCGCAAATTTGACTAGGTTGAGATTTGCCGATCCACCGCTTTAAGCTGCTAATGTTAGCGGTTCAGAAGGGCCGTCTCCCACTTTAGTGATAGATAACAGAGCAGGTATACAAATATATGGTTTGCTACTACCCCCCTGCCCTCCCATGCATGATCCCATAGGTACCACTGCCTTTCAATCGTTTTGACATTTTATTTTCAGAAGTGCCTTCCTATGCGTTTATGTTGATATTTGTCAGTAGCGAAAACATAGAATTACATATTCTATTTTTTCGTCCAATATTTCATGTTTTACTTCTGAATTCCTACTTGCTGTAATGTTTATACCATTTTATTATGTGTGATTTCATCCCTCCTGCAAAATCCCCCACGATATTCATCTTCTTATTCAACTCCATTTTGAATAACTATCCATTTTGCTACAACGTATATATGTCTTCCGCTCGAGGACGAGCTTCACTTTATTGACGGGACGTACGGAAGCGTGCGCTTCGCCTTCTGGCGTTTCGCCCTTCTGTTTACCTTGTCTCTTACCGGCTACTCCTCGATGCAACGTGAAGACGCAATCCAGCAGATGCAACACAGCAATGAAGTCCCATTCCCCCACGATGAAAGCAAACCACGAAAAGATGCATGGTTCTCGATGAGACGAATGGTACAGCAAGGATCAACCCTCGAGTGATGATCAATACGCGAGCAATCAACAACATCAAGTATACCAGAAATCAACCGATGATGACACGACTATAAGCCAGAATTCGATCAATGATGATGGTTGATGACGACATGATGAGATGATGATGATGATGGTCAAATGGTTAAACGTGCATTCCGAAATGATCAAAAGTTACGATAGTTTTTCTTCTTCCCGAACCACGGTCAAAGATGAAAGCTCGAGGACGAGCTTTGCTATGGAATGGAAGACGCAAACTAATTAGATGGTCCGACAGTCCCCACGAACTGGGCGGTGCCCAAAATCTCCAGATGAGCTGGCACTCTCTGGGTGCTCGGTGGTCCCTCCCCATTGATGTCCCCCCCCCCATATATATATATATTAGGGTGAACGGTAAAAAATGGGACACCTTGAGAATAATTGCAGATTTCTCAAGGAAGAAAAGTGACTGAACTTTCCAATTTTGATAGATATTAGAATAAATTATTCTCATTCAGATAGCACCTATATAAGGTCATTTATATAATTGATAATTTTTATACTTGCTAAAATGCAAAGTTAGCTACTTCGAGAAATTATGAAGTTTGAGCAGTATCGGCGCAGTAAAACATGTGAGACCACCCAAAGTACCACTGCTGGAGTGGGTGGTGGGACAGTCACCAAACCCATGACGGCTTGGTGGCTTTAACTCTTAATGTCAGGAGATATGCCCATTAACAGCTTCGAGAACAAAGATACGCGTTATTCAATTCTTTGCAGGTAAACGCATGATTTCTAGGTATCGTCTGATAGAGCTTTTCACGTTCTATCCATCCATATGCAGTTTACCTCAGATTTTATCTATCTTCGGAAAATATAGGGCAAAACATGATTTTTTGGTTTTTTGTTGAGCCAAAAATAGCTATTTTTCAAGTTTTTTCGATTTTTTCTTCTGAAATTGAAAAGAAATCTCATGCACTTAACGTATCGTTCGAAAGAGCATGAAGAGCTCTTTCGAATGGTATGTCACTTGCTTTACGACTTTACGGTATAACAGCGCAAGATTGAGGATTGTCCAAAAAACCCTGTTCGAGTTCTTCACGGCGCCACGTGTAGGGTAGTGGAAGAGGAGCGTTAACGCGTTGTCAGAATAATAAGCGAAGGTCGCCCATGTAAGCGACGTTTAAGTTGCCGCTTACTTGCTGTTGCCCGAAACAAAAAATTCCAAAATGTAATGAAAATCAAGCTGTCCCATTTTTTACCGTTCACCCTAATATATATATATATATATATATATATATATATATATGTATATATATATATATACAGGGTGTCCCAAAAAAATGTATCGAACGTTTGATCGTTAATATCTCTCTTCCCAAGAAGTCTTTTGCCTTGCTTCAGGTACCGTTTTGTAGAGCTGGCTTCAACTTAGATTTGCAGCATAGAGCGAATCATTGACCACTCTTCGGTGCTGTAGGATTACGGTAGAAACTTGGAACATACGGTGTCAATGTGGAAAAAGCTGCCGTTTCAAAATTTTTCAAAAAATTGTGAAAACTTGTGTATTGGGGTTTTTATAGACGCTGAGTTCAATACTCAACTATTCTCTCAAGATTGCGAAGCTTTCTAAACGGTGTAACCGCACTTTTTAGGAACATTGAAAAAATGGCCGCTACCTCTTACCTTCAATGAAGCATCATAATGAGTTGGGAACTTTACAGTTATAATCAGCAACTCTAACTAGCCCAGTGTTAAAGTTTTGAGGCTGTTTTATTTCCTTTCTGAGGCAAAATATGGCCTTTCCTCGCTTAAAACTCTCTTTGAAGTTTCTACCGTAATCCCACAGTAATGAAGAGAGATGAATGATTCGTTCTATAATGCAAATCTAAGTTGAAGCCAGCTCTACAGATTGGTACCTGAAGCAAGGGAAAAGACTTCTTCAGAAGAGAGATATTAACGATCAAACGTTCGATACATTTTTTGGGACACCCTGTATATATATATATATATACCAGCGCGTCACCTCTGCTTCGCAGAGGCTCGCACTGGCTCTTCTATCTATATGTCATACTCCTTCCCGCATAACATGGCATTGAGACATACCGCGCAATGCCCGCCTACACGAATGACTCGTAAACAACTACTCATTTCTTAAGCTTTTTCATGTGAGATCGGTATTTTGCGTGAATGAAACTTTGAAAAATGAAGAACAATTGCAAATTTGAACAGGTTTTGAAACTTTTTTTGGCTTGGTAGTCGCCGTAAGGACAATAGTTATCGTGAGCTACATCTCTATGCAAAAATCTTCTCAAATGCTCAAGTAAAACCACGGCGGATTGACCATTTACGCGTCCATTTCTTTTTGGCGTCGTTTTCGTAAAGTAGCAAACCTTTGGTCACTTTTTGGTCTAAAGTCCATGGCTTACACATCAACCTGCTAAACACATCCACGGCTTTGCAAAAAGCGTTGATACGGACCAAATTTTGCGGGCCAGAAGCCAAGTGGATCCGTTTGACGCGCAACTTCTGAGGGACCCACTCAACGAATCCGTTCGTGCTTTTGCATGCTGGAGTTCTACCTTGGTAGCATGCGCTATGTGAAGTTTGGGATCGGGATGGTGGCTGGAACCCGCTGTATGAATTTCGTTACAGACAGACAGACAGACACACACACACACACAAAGTCACGTAAACACCCTTAGCCCGTTATTATAAGTTATGATATCAGTGGCGTACCGAGGGGGGGGCGGGGGGGGGGGGGCGCGGCGCGCCCCCCCCCGAGAATGGGTCGCGAAATTTTTGAAATTTATTTATACGGATTATAAAAATGTGCAAATGACTTGTTTATACTTGTAAATAATTAAAATATTTTTTAAAAATTTTTTAAAATTCAAATTAGCCTTGTAAAAAAAATTTTTTAGGGGGCGTGGCTGACGCCACGCCCCCTTTTTCCAGATTTTAGGTGTTGGGGACCCGCAAGAAATTTGAGAAGCACCCCTAAAATTTTTTCGGAGTGCGTGGCTGACGCCAC